ATAAGCATTGACGTTCAAATTATGCGTAAATAAGGGAGTTGGTAATTTACTGTCACACGCAAGCCTGCAGCTAAAATTTCATTACAATAAATTGTTTGGAAAAATCAGGCTGCGAGATTTTATTTATTCTCTATCTCCGCTGTTCGCTTGGACACGGCCGCCCGTGTGCTGGCTGTTTTGTTTCGCTCTGGACGATGGTTTTTCAAAAAATGTACTGTTGCCACCTCTGGCTGTGGGTCATCTATGTCAAGTGCACCATACTAAAGAGTATAAAGAGAGAACCCCGCTCAAATTCCTATTCCTACACAAAATACAAGCTTCTGCTGCAGTTAACAAATAAGATTTATTGAATAAGACCACGTAGCTCTACGTCACAATTGCGTACAACCGTCACAATTGCGTAGGAATTTATCATATTTATTTTATTTCGAATCAAATTAATCGTAATTAGTTATAAGCAACACCACCAAATTATTTACACTGTACCTGGAATCGAACTCGAGACGACCGCATTGGCGAACCTTGATACTACCAACTTCGCTACGTTATCACTTTGAACTGACGTAAACAAATTTACATGCCCTTCTACATCAAGATCGCTGAGTAGAGGCTAATAGCAACAATCAATACGAAACTAACGATTTTAAATTGGCTCACTACTTGACTAGCCTATTGGTCCCGAGGAAACGATTAACGTACCCCACTGTAGTCGAAATTCTAGTACTACACAATGTTTGTTTTGATTCGCTATGAAAGTTTGACAGATAAAATGAGGGGTTAGTGGATTTTCCTAGAGTCGGTGTATAATGAGTCACGCCAAGAGTGAAGCCAAGTCTACCTATTGAACTGTCAAACCGGCTACCTATCGTGCAAAGTAAACAAGCATTACGATGCTATGAAAGGTCAACGAAAGGTATTGCAATTAAATATTAAATATAACCGAAGGAATGATCATATACACGCAGTGAGCATTACATTTGTCATGCGATACGTTTTGTAATGATCAGTAATGACAATTTCTACTATTTTTCCTTAAGATAATTCGACAAAATCACTGATATAATGATTTACTACAGCCGTTAATTTTTTTCCTCGCTAGAAGTCATTTGAAGTTGATGCAGAAGTCCTCTGTTGCCAAGTTAAAAGAAAGGGAATTTTCGAAAACCGTGATGCGAGTTCAACTGTTTTTCTCTTGGCGTGACTCATTATACACCGACTCTAGATTTTCCTATGTTTCGAGGGCTGAATCGATTAGCTTGGGACCGAAGAGAGTACCAGAGCTGAACCAAAAAGTTGAGCACGTTTCTTCGGGACCTTCTAGTCTTAGAGTTACCTCTATGCTAATAGTGCACATGAATCCATTTTCTCGACTAGTTAATTCAGCTTTGTAAAGAAGCAGAGTAAATGCTGTGAAACTGCACAAGTCTAAAAATAAACCTAGTTGACTGTAACATAGCTTCCAAAGTAGCGCTAACACAGTTTATTAGCTGAGTACAGGTTGTTTAGTTGCTGAAAAAGCACTTTTGATGTTTATGTTATTCAGCAAGAGTGGTTGGTTGTGTAGAAGCCAACAACTAAGTAATATATTCGCTTTATTAGCTTTGTTTTGATGCTTAAAGTTGAAAGTTGATTAATATTTGCATAGAAGTGACATTAGCGTTTATTGGCTGATGTTATTCAGTGGACTGACAAGTTGAATAATGGTTGTGACAAAGTTGAGTAAACGATCTCTAAAACTATTTTGATAGCTTCTGCTTGTAGCTGTATCTGCAGCTTTGTTTCAGCTACTTTAAAGCCCAACGCTGGAAAAGTTGGCTTATAAAGCTGAGAATGTTAGTTGGGATGCTCTCAGAATTCCCTTGGAATTAATATTCATTCATTTGTTTAGTAATTTGGATTGCTTGGTTTGACTTTCAGTCACATAAAAACAGGGAGTTTCTACTTTCAGACGTTTCAGCGCATTGTAATTATTGAAAAACATTGATTATAATCGATTTTCATGGTCTCGGGACCAAAGACCCTATTGAATGTTATATTTTTTCATGAAAAATTAGACCTTTTTACGCAACATGTCAAAAATTCAGCAATGCATGTTTTTCCGTTTCTGAGCTGCAATTTTTCAAAAATATTAAGTTTAAATATAAATGGAGACGCATGGCAGACTGTGGACTATCTGTGGGCAACATTACCTACGGGTATCCACGAGATAAAAGAGAATCTCCTTCCAACAATAGGATCATACAACCGGTCAAAAAACAGGCGATCCCACAGGAGGATGTCCAATGAGTGGGGTGAAGAGCCCGCCCTCTATTTACGAAATTTTAAAGACAGGGAGTTGACATTTCCACTATCCCCATCCATTTCGCTTCAATCGGGTGCCCTGGTACGGGAGGGTCCGAATCCAGCATTTAATGTTTCATATAATAGAGAAAAATAAAGGAAAGATCTCACCCGGTATGTTGCAAAGGAATCCATGACATCACGATGAATTCGAAGAGAATAGTCTAATAGCGAATTCGTTTACTATCGGGGTTGGAACCCGTTCCAACCCAGTGCGAAACCGAACTTTTTGTCAGTGTGAACCTCAACCTGAGCTAGGTTTTAAAAACAAACGAGCAAACTGACGTTTGTCAGAAAACAAGCAGTCCCAATCTTGTTTACGATCCAGATTGGAACTGAATAATAAACGAATTCGCTATAAAGGCCGGTGCACAATAGATACGTTTTCGGGTTTTTTGACAGATAATGCATGGGCTAACTGTCAAAAAACCCGAAAACGCATCTATTGTGTGCCGGCCTTAACACGGAAGGGTTGCGGAATTGAGCCGTTCCAGGCAAAATAACGAAACAGAAATAATTTTTTAAATTTATCTTCTTCGATTTGCGTGAAACTTTGCATTATTGCTTTTTATGATTCACAGTTTTGCTATAATTCAGCCATTTTGAATCTTGTAAAATTTTCAAAATGTCGTCCATGAGTTTTTCCAAAAAACTGTAGATCGACAACGGTCCATTTTTGTGAACAAAGTTTTAGAGAAAATTCTGGGATTTTTTTTTTATTTTAAGTAATAGAAACGTCATTTCAATTAGAAGTACTGTTTCCGCGCTAAAATATATTGAAAAATTTCATAGATGTCATTTTGAATATACTACAATTCTTTTTCCCGATTCGTCATTTGGCGTGCTCAATTTTAAGATCCAATTTTACTTTTTTCTGATATAGGGGAAATGGATGTAATGTCGGTCTAAATGCCCCTAATTTGGACGCATACATAAATTTATAACAATCGACTAAATTTTCAATAGCGACCAAAAATATCCATTAGTACTGTCCCAATGACTTCAATCGCGTTCACTTTCATCTAGATAAATTGATAAATAGCAAATTTTAAGCCATGGGCCCAATCTTAGATCCATAGGCCAACATTAGAGCCATTTCCCCTATATATACAAAATATATATAAACACTCTAACAGCAAACATCTCGTTTAAATACGATATACCTGAAGTTCGTATGACTGCCTAGAATCTAATTTTTATTTTTATTTTGAAGATCAATGCTTCTTAAACAACGATCCAAGTCAACAGCTTTCCATATTTCCAAAATTGCATGATTGTAAAAACTTTGGAGAAGCCAGATTTCGAAAAAAAATTCTGAATATTTGGAAAATTGATTGCCATCTTAGAAAATGTATTTTTTTAAACAATCCATAATCAAATTTCAAATTTTATGTGAATGATAGCAATACTTAATTATTGATAAAGGGTGACGTTTAATTAATAATAATACCCTCAACAATTGTAATCGTTCATTTGTGTAATTAATTGTGTAATATAATAATTTATTCACAATTGGGGGTTGCACGTCATAAAAGTTTTCTTCGGATCCAAAGACATAAAGCAAAGTGGATACTTTGTCAAGTCCTTCATCAGTCAAAACTTTTGTCGGAGTGAGGTCTCTCCAGTTTTTCTGAACACACTTTGAGTTCGTAGAATATAGAAGAGAAAAAAAAACGTACACATCAAGAACCTTGCGAAACTGTCGTCGCCGTCGGTTCTATTTATTGAATGTCTGTGGAAAAGAAAAGGCCACTTTGATTGATCGACAAACAAAGGCCTGCTGCTGCTGCCTACGATGACTCGAGAAGAAGCCCTTGTATACGAAAACCTTGTATAGGAAAAAGTCAGCATGAAAATAAAACATTTATTCAATTCCATGGAAAATCGAGGGTGGGCAAGTATGACCATTTTCTTTTCTACTTGTTTTGTTTGTGCTTTTCTGAAGTTTGTGTAACTTTCGATTGGTTCCCGCGTAGCGTACGTAACACAATGGCTGACGGGGGATGTGAAACGAAAACAGAAGAAAGGCTTCAAATAGCGATCCTAGAGAGCTGTCTAAATGTTCTCGTACGGTCCCGGCTTCGTCAAGAGGAGATGTCTACATATTTTATCACATTTTTAGCCGACCGACTCCGTCCTTTCCGCGCAGCCATATTGTCACCGTGGCCGCTTGAGTTGCGAATCCGGGAAATGTTACTCTTCCGTTTCGAATGTGTTATATTGGATTGGAAGTTGAAGCCTTGACATTCCCACTGCGGATGGTTGGGTTTGGATCGGTTGGCGACCGGCGTGTTATCGGTTGGTTAGGTTGAGAATCGCTACGTGACGCCTTGTGGGCGATAGATAAACCGGCTGGCGGTGGCATTGAAATTCCCGTTTTGGAATAATACATGATGCTGACACGGTGGAATTCAATATGATGTTCGCAAATTGAATTCCACACCCGTCAGTATGGATTGCAAGGCTCGTGTGCCGCGTGGGAGTTCGAACAAGCTGTCGGTTGACTTTCAATTCGATTAAGCTCTTCAAACATTGCTTGTTTTCTGTAACAGCGTGGCTTCAATGTTTGAAGAGCTCAATTGCAATGGGCGCCTGCAAAAGCACTGAGGGCTTCCGAAAGGGCTCCACGTTAAAACAGCAATTCGAGAGGGATTACTTACCGAAACTTTGGCTTATCCAAATTCCGAGCATGTCGAGCTGCAGCAGCCGATAGTACGCGCTCTCGCCCATTTCCAGATTCATGAAGAGATGGTAGACGAAACTACCGCACCAGGGTGCAACAGAACCGACCAGATGACACCACGAGAGAAAGCGGTACTCCTTCTCCCATGGCATCATTGCCGGAACTGTTGCCAGGATGTACACTATTGGAATGCCTGTAAGTGAGGGGAAAAGATTAAACAAAGAGCAGAAAATGCTGTTAGTAGAGCGCCAAACGAAAGTGGTGTAATATTTATTCCAAGAGAACATGGAACTCAATTTAATAATTGGATACATTCGCTTCAACGGAAAGGTTTCACAGGAATGAGTGCCCAAGTACCAGACTTATCAAATAGCTATCTGTATATTATTAGGATTGCATACACGTTAGGCGCAGATACTTTATGTTTGCCTGATCCAAGTAACCAAGATTAAAAGATTTCCAATTTTTGCCCTCCCTCTTTAAAGGCCCACACACATTGCATCGGTTGGTGATCCGTTGCGGCTAATCTGACAGTTAGACAATAGATTTGGCCGTCACTTTGCCGCAACGTAGCACTAACGGATGCCATGTGCGTGGGCCTTAACTACTTCAACTGACATCGACACCGCAGCCATTGCCAAATTGTAAATGGAGAAATACGAGAAGAGCCCGCATGAAACCATTAGACGCACTCACTAAACACAGATCGCTATATCCGTTGCGTGCCTAAGCTTTTCTTTTTTGGTTTGTAGAGTAGGTACCTATTCCTACTGCTGCTGCTTTTGCTGGAAAAGAAAATAAAGAGGCTCTCGGTTACGTAATGTTTATCGTTGTTCTGCTTTGGTGACCACTATAAATAGCAGGTTTCTTTCGCCATCGACAATTTGGTGCGTTACTAGAACTCACTGTAGTGTCTGAAAGCATATTCTAATGCGATTCAAGTGAATTGTTTGTGGCTAATTGCGGAACATGAGCCTCGAATGTGGGACACTTTTATACATATATAGGAGAGTATTAGAATTTCCTATTGGAAGGTCATTGCACTTTGACATATAGACACGCTCTACGCATCATCTCGCTGTGACAATCGTCGGATTTGTTTTCGATTCAAGCATACTTTTCTGCAACTGTCAGGTGATTGTTCGAAAGATCAAGTCCTATCGGATAGTAAACAGATTAGTTTACAATTCTCGACGCTAAAATGTACGTGTGTGTATCAGCTAGATTACGAGACCTAGATAGAAAGTTGCTGTCCGTATAGAAAATTGTTATCTTCGGCAAAGTTGTTTAGGTGAACAGGTAGGTTCAAAATTCATTCACTACGAGGAGCTAGTCCCCCTTATTCTGCGCCGCCAGTGACAAAAGTCACCGCTAGAGAGGTGACTCTCCATTTTATTTGCATTTGTGAATTTATCCTCCGGATGAGAATTACCCAGCGCCACTGGAACATCAGCAACACAGCACACAAGATGACAGCAGCAGCAGCAACGTGTGTCTTGTCCGGCCAACGGACAACCGCGAAAAGAGGACAGATCAAGCTCAGCATTAAACAGCAGCGTGCTATGATCGAACCCACTGTCACTCATGAGTGATGTTCATTCATCAGACACCAGTACGACGCAGTGAGTTATCATCTAAGCTAGGGTGTACCCCACATTCAACATTTTGATTCTTGGGATCCTGATTATCTAGAAAGTTGTAGTAGTAAGCAAAGATCTTCAGGAGGTCAACGGTTAGTTAAGTTCCTATCACTCAATGGTGCTAGTGTGCATTTAATAAAAAGTTCCAGATATCCTTCAATTTAAGTATCTTACGAACAGGGATTATCGCGTTGGTGGACACATAAGGTCATAAATCACCACTAACTACGTAGTTTACCAACGCGTCCAGGATGGGAATTCAGGAGGAAACAAGTCCTAGAACTTTTGTTTTAATATTCAAGCACGAAAACTTCACTCAAGACGCTTAACGTCTAAATAAGTAAATGTAGAACAAGAACCAAGCCTCAGGAAAAAAAATAAAATAAATAAGTAAATAAAAAAATTGGTTAATAAATAAATAAATAAACAAATAAATTAATAAATTAATAAAAAGAAAGAAATAAAGAAATAAATAAATAAAGAAATGAATGAATAAATCATTAAAATAATAATTTAAGAAATTAATAAACTGATAAATTAATAAATTAAAAAAATCAAAAAATTAAAAAATTACAAATTAATAAATTAATAAATTATTAAATTAATATATCAATAAATTAATTAATAAATAAATTAAAAAAATAATAAATTCATACATTAATAAATTAAAAATATATACATTAATTCATAAATTCATAAATTTATAAATTCATACATTCACAAATTCATAAACGGCGCCGGTGGTGTAGTGGTAAGCGTGATTACCTCTCACCCCAGTAGGCCTGGGTTCAATCCCAGTCGGCGCCGCCGGGATGTTCTGAGGCATAACATCTCTGATCACGCCTTCCTTCGGATGGGAAGTAAAGCCGTTGGTCCCCGGTTCATGAGTTGATGGGTCGATAGGTAGGGTCCAGGTGTGGGAGCTGCCTTCCTGGCACGTCGGTAGCATTGGTGCTCAGCACGGAAAACAAGATCGACGGAAAAAACAAACCAAAGGAAAAAAAAAAAAACAAATTCATAAATTCATAAATTCATAAATCCATAAATCCATAAATCCATAAATTCAAAAAATCATAAATTCATAAATTCATAAATTCATAAATTCATAAATTCATAAATTCATAAATTCATAAATTCATAAATTCATAAATTCATAAATTCATAAATTCATAAATTCATAAATTCATAAATTCATAAATTCATAAATTCATAAATTCATAAATTCATAAATTCATAAATTCATAAATTCATAAATTCATAAATTCATAAATTCATAAATTCATAAATTCATAAATTCATAAATTCATAAATTCATAAATTCATAAATTCATAAATTCATAAATTCATAAATTCATAAATTCATAAATTCATAAATTCATAAATTCATAAATTCATAAATTCATAAATTCATAAATTCATAAATTCATAAATTCATAAATTCATAAATTCATAAATTCATAAATTCATAAATTCATAAATTCATAAATTCATAAATTCATAAATTCATAAATTCATAAATTCATAAATTCATAAATTCATAAATTCATAAATTCATAAATTCATAAATTCATAAATTCATAAATTCATAAATTCATAAATTCATAAATTAATTTAATAACTTATAAGATTAGTAAACTAATTAATTGATATATTAATACATTTATAAATTAATATACTAATAAATTCATAAATTAACAAATTCATTAATTAACAAATTCATTAATTAATAAATTAATAAATTGATAAATTAATAAATTAATAAATTAATAAATTAATAAATAAATAAATAAATTAATAAATTAATAAATCAAAAAAAAATTAAAAAATCTGAAAATAATAAACTAATAAATGAATAAATTAATAAATTAATAAATTCACCAGATCATAAATAATAATAATATAAGAAATAAAGAAATAAGGAACTTATAAAATTAAGAGATTAAGGAATTTGGAAATTAAGAAATTAGAACATTAACAAATTAACAAATCAACAAATTAACAAATTATTAAATTATCAAATTAACAAATTAAGAAATTGTGAAATTAGGAAATTAGGAAATTAGGAAATTGGAAATTAGGAAATGAAGAAATGAAGAAGCAGATAAATAAAGAAACAAATAAATAAAGAAATAAATAAATAATTAAAGAAACAAATAAATAAATAAAGAAACAAATAAATAAAGAAATAAAGACATTTAAGGACAGTTTTGAGAACTTTAGGGCAGTTTCATGAATATCTGGAAAATTGCGGATACTTCAAGTAAATTTCGAGATGTTCCATTAAATTCATGAAAAAGGTGACTACCTTCACTGCCGCTCATCGCTAGTCGAACCCATTTGCGTTTTTGTCAAAACTGATTTTTTCAATGAGACTCACACATTTTTTCTTAATACTGGATGAACTCAACAACTTTGTTCTGAAAAAGTTAGGAAAAACACCAAAACAGGTTGTTATGGGAATAAGAAGGTATGGTTCGATGCAATTTTTTAAACGCGTTTTTCTAGGCTTGCTGATTTGTGCTATGGGACGGACTTGTCACGAGCGGCAGTTCAATAAGTTCTGAAACCTGAAGATAGTTTGCAGAATATCAGGAAAGTTTAGTGAACTCAATACAAAATTCTAAAAGTGTCTTGAAGTTAAGATATCTTTAGAGCAGTTTCATTAATTTCAGGGCAATTCCAGGAACATCATCAGAGGAGTAGCAATAATTTAAAAGAAGATCTGAGGAATGAAGGAAATATTGACGATTTCGGCGAAGTTACATGAACAGATTAAGGGATAATAAGGGAAGTTCCGAGAACTTATGTAAAATGCCGGGCTTGTCAGGGAAGCTTCGAGAACTTCAAGACGGTTCCACCAGCTTCAGACAAACAGGGATATCCAGAGAAGACAAAATAACTTCAGAGAAATCCAGGGAACTTGAGGAAAATCGGAGAAACTTTAAAGAAGTTCCAAGAACCTCAGAGAAGCTAGGACTTCAAGGGCAGTTTTATGAACTTCAGACAAATTTCGAGATGCTTCAAGAAATTCTGGTTATTTTAGGGAAGCCCAGAGAACTCCTGAAAAGCTTAGAAAACTTCAGACATATTTTGGGAGCTTCTCAGAAGTCCAAAGATTTTCAGGATAGATCAATTTATTTCAGGGCAATACCAAGAACTTCAGGGAAGATATGTGAACATCCTAGTTTCTAGAAACTCGGGGCAAACTTCAAGCAAAGTTCCAAGATCTCAGGGTATCAGGGTAGTCCAGAAAACTTCAGAGAAGTATAGAGATTTTTTGGCTGTTTTATTATATTCCGAGATGTGTCAGGAACTTCAGAGAAGTTTCATTAAATAATTTTAGCAACTTTCAAAAAGCTCTGTAAACTTATGGAAAGTTTCGAAAATGTTACCGTTTTGGTTCCTGCATCCTACTGATTCACTTCAAGCGAGATATATCAGCAGATAGCGAGAGCGAGGAATAGGGTATATGTGTATTCATTATGAATTCGATCATGCTCATGGGAGCTAATATTTGTATGTCAGTTTCTTGTATTATCGTTTCAGTAGAAAA